CTCTCTCTCTCTCTCGCTCTCTCGTAAGCAACAGCAGTAGCAACGCAGGGGTCAGTCGAGATCGTATTGCTCGACGGCAGCCACGCAATTGTACAGTTGCGGAACCGCGAAGCTCGGCGGAATTCGAACTAACGGCATTCACCCGGACTCCTTGATACGACCGAGTCGCGCAACTTACAATTATATAGCGTATACACGATAAAGCCCCCCGTCGCTTTCCACGCGGACACGCATACTCTCCTGGGAAAACTCAATCTCTCGGCTACGTTACCGCAATCGCCACGCATTCCCCGCTGCGACCGTCGCGTAAGCGAAATTTGGTAATAGCTTCGTATTCCCCATCGAGCTACAAAAGGAATGCGTGTTAAGAGAATTATTGATATTTCATTTCCACTCGCAAACTAATCACGCGCCATTAGCCACTCTTAATCAAATCTCTAAATGATTCCAAATTTATTGATGTTAATTGTACGACAAAATGTATGCGTCCGTTTGCACTTGGAATATTTCTGCGCGCAAATATCAAAAAATATTTCAATATCCAGCATTAAATGACGGGAAAACATGGTTAAGTCTCGAATAGAGTATTTAAATAATATATTCCGATATTTTTATATGCAGTCAGAAGCTCCTTTGCATTAATTTTAATTGAAACATAATATACACATGCAGAATACTCTTAAATTACAGGCTAGCTTGCTGCGTGCATGCAAACTAGTCAGAGGGAAAAGTTATACACGCGAGTCCTCAGTTTGCCCGACATTGTCTATTCAGGATGATCGTTACACGGACTACCACCGATATAGCGAGAGCTTTAGGTGCCAACTAGCTTTTCAAATTATCATTTAAACGGATTCGAATTGTCCCATGATACCCGTTGTTCATAGCTAGACTATGCTTTCGAGATTATAGGCCGTCGGGACTAAAACCATTTCTCTCACGGAATTTAATCGGATCCCGACGGAATTCCAGACCAGTCGTCTCGAAACAAATTCACGAAACACCAACTGTATTCCAGTTTGCTTCCGAAATTCCAAGTAAACCAATATAACTCGCGTGAACTCCATAAAAAAAAAAGGAAAGAAAACCCGTCGTGCAAAAATGTGCGCGCGCAAATAAAAATAAAGTGACAAAAAAACATGTCTAAAGTATTTCGTTTTTTTATTTTTTGCATTCCTAAATATTACTCGACTGATTAACTTACTACGTATGTTCTTACAACTCAATAGTACTCGTGCCGTTTTAATCATTTGTGGTCTGTTATCTAGTGATTTATGGAATATAGAGTTTATTTTAATACCTGTCGACATATGGAATCCTATCTATAAAATTCAATTAAGCGTGATAAAGCGGGCTTCCTGCAGCACTAGAAGATTCTTCAAGTAAACGACGTGCTTCGTCATTTTCTGCGCGGACGTAATTATGCGGCTATTCGATCCCGGCATCAAATTAATCCAGGCATTATCGGGTAGCCATAGCGAGCGCGCAACATCGTGCTGCGACGTGCGAAGTTATCGATCGTAATTACCAGATTTTCTATTCAATACGCTGCATCGACCGGCACTGCGTGACTGCGTTTGTATCGTCGGATATTATTCGCGCCCTTTTACAACTCATATTGCTTTTTCTCGCATAGTCACGAGGAACGTAACTTACACAACCGCCGTTAAATCCGCCGTCACGGCGCCGTAAATATGTTCCGTCGAAGATATTGCACTACAAGACGTATATACACAGAGAGGGAAAGAGCGAGAGAGAGAGAGAGAGAGAGAGAGAGAGAAAAGATGCAAGACGGAGTGAGAACAAAATTATTTCGCGGGCGTAATGGCGCGGATGTATCCAATAAAACAAGGAAGAAGTAGCGGGCGATCGATCGCGAGAAAACAGAGGCGCGCAAAATTTTCTCTTCAGCATGCCAAACCCCGTAAATTTCTGAAGCTATTAAGTTTATCGGCCCGGGTAAGAAGCTCCTAACTTTTATAAATGGTCGTCTTGCCTCCGGTGCAATTTACGAAAAAAAACCTCGTTCCTCATTTCACTTAATTCTGCCACAGCGCGCGGACGAGCGGAAGCGGTGGGGACGTCAAGTCGGGTATAAATCGATATACCGTTGTAATAGAAAACGATTGATTCGTCTTTCACGATTGATCGTCCCTAAGGCTGCCGTCCATCCCGCACTGCCAAAAGATATTAAAATTTCAGTAGCAATGAAACTCTGTCCCGACTATTTACCATCTAAATGTCGTTATTTCGATTATTTATGAACGAGCGGATGCAACTGTCGTGTTCACGCCCGTTATACCTAACATTTATTCTTAAATATTGCTAGATACGTCGAATACATCTTCTTATCATTTAGTAATATCTCAACGCAATATATATAGTACAACATTTCAAATAAATTCATTTATACACAAATACAATTTATATATCCAATTTACGTCAATCAGTTGATTGCCAATAAATCATTTCTATACGCTGCTTAATTGAAAATAGATAGCAGTTATTCACAAACGGACGCACGATACGCAGGTAGACAAGCAGAGAGGACACGCAGGACAGGACGGACGCACTTTAATGTCGTGTCACACGGGAAAAATCTTTTCCTGGGGCTGTACAGGGCTGCTAAATAATTTCACTCAGTCACGGGCGCAACGTCACCGGCAATTTCGTCCGTCAAACTCGGACTGGCTGAGACAGCGGGGGTGCGGGATTTCCGAACTTTTTTACTCTTTCGCGCTCTATTACCAATTCCTCGGGGTACCTTACTGTCCCTCGTCTTCCGGGAAGAATTGGTTCTGGACTTGGCGGGCGCCGGCGCGGGCGTCGGCAGTCTCGCGAATCGCCCGGCGATGCGATTCGCGCGATCCAGCTCGTCGCCGATGGGAAGATAGTAGTGGCCGCGGTATCGTCGCAGAATACCGTACTCCACGCCTCGCTTCAGAGCCGCCATCACCTGATTCACCACGCGAAAACTCCATTAAGCTTAGGATAAAACTAGCGAGTGCGAGAGCGCAGCACAAAAGATCAACTATCGAGATCAAACTGCGATCGCCAAAGTCTGAAGTGACACGATTGCGCAATCTTCAATTTCTCTATTTAAAACAAAGGGAAGTTATCGCGCGATATAAATTTCTCTTCCATTAAAATATCGTTATTCAGAGCGATTTGCGGAATTGACACGAACTTGGCACTCGTACACCCTTTACATACGCATGCCTACGACACGTGATTGACATGTGAAAATAGAAAAGGTACAAAAAAAGATTGCCGACGATTTCAATCAACGCTATCGTTTTTTACTCGAAACGACGTTGCGTCAATAATGTATTTGTTAAGGTGTTTACAATCAGCCAATCAAAATCGCAAACAATGCATAAATTAATGTACATGATACGTATGCTGTGCGTTATGCACATCAAAAGTTGACTAATTATACGGCTATCAAAAAACGAATAATGAAATTTTATTTAAAAATAAGATTTCATCTCCGCTCACTTGTCGTTTGACGCGTTGTTCGGGCAAGCTGGAAGCGTAACTAATGTATCCTGTGATCTTTTTAGGTGTAGAGCCCTTGGTTTCGCGAAGATCTTGTATAGCTGAGACGACTAGAGCAGCGATTTTCATAGGCTTCACCCTTTTGCTTTTTCTCGTAGTTTTTGTCTCCTTCCTTGCCATTTTAGAATTAATCGTTGAAGTGCATGCAAATTACATCCGCAATTTAACGTTAATATTATTATTATAAAAGTATACAAAACAGGGTTCCCGCAATGTAATCGACACGAAAAATTTACTCCGCGATCGCTGTCAAAGAACCCGTCACCATCGATTATTTCTATCATTTGTTTCTATATATCGAGCCGAAGCTACTTTCACGCGAAATAACTTTTTGAAAGCAATCCTTGGAAGTACAAGTTTTTAATCTAACTTTTGAGTGGTTCATATATCAAATTAACTCTCCGTTATAAGTGATCTACTAACAGTTTAAAAAATAATTTGTACCTCACATATAATTGGTACGTATATTTAAAAACTAACTATTAAAAAAAATGGCTTGGCTTTTCATCAAACTTCTACACGTACACGGTTCAAAAATTGTTCACGTGGAAGAAAAAACGTTAAACGACGGGAAAGGTGGGAGAAAAAGTAAAAAAGTGAAAAAGTGCTACAACTACTACTCGTAACAATAAGAGCGCAGTGTTGCAGGATTTTAAAAAAAATGCCACGTCAGGCCGCCGCGTTACAACCGCGCCTATATAATGCATAAAATTGGGATATGCGAATTATCTTTTTTTTTTTTTCCTCTTTGTACTTTGCCCGGGCTTTATCGGCGCGTTTGTCGGCGCGCGTTTCCGCCCTCCTTGTCTCGTAATCAGTCAACTTTACGATAGGCATTACTTTCTTGGCGGATGAAAAAAAGGCAACCGTTGAATAATACATCGCCGCCGGCCGGATGCACTCGCATCGGGTATCAACCCCTCGAGGGTGCAACCGCCCTTTTTACAGCCCCGGCCGGAGTAGCGCGAATTAGTCATCGCGCATAAAGGAAGAAAAAAAAAAGGACGAGACGGCGGTGCGCGAGCGCATTACCACGGTGATTGATCGTCAGACCATTATCAACCGCAAACGAAGGTACACAGAGCGCAAATAAAGCTCTGAAAAGTCGGAATCGTTATGCAATCGTACGTGCCCTGATAAGCCGCGCCGCTAATAACGGTGGACGATACCGTTGTACCAAGAAAATTCGCACGCGATCGCGAAAGCCTGGATGATATCCGCACGCAAGCGCCGCATTTGCATAATAAAAAAGAAAAAACAAAAAGATTACAATTACTAACGGCGGCGTACGGTCATGTCGGCCGCTGCTCGAGAACGTATTTTTAGCTGTAATCGGCCGGTATTAATCTCCGCGAAACCACTTAATTTCACGCCGCGTTGAATCGCGCCAGTTTTTCACTTCGACCATGGTGGAGCGCTTATAATTTCAAGATTTTTAACCCCGCACGCGGCCGCGTCCCGTTTTTTTTTTTAATTGACTACACAAAAATTACTCCGGCGATTTCCAGCCGGGCGCGTCGTTTTTTGCTCCGTCTACTTAGAATATCGACGTATCGAAATCTGATATGTCGAAAATTGTACAGTCAAATTTATACGATCGAGCAATTGCATGTCAGTAAAACGTAAAATCAAAATGTTTCTATTCTTTCAATCAAATTAAAACAAACGCGCTTGTCTCTCGCGCTCGAAATTAATTCCTGTTACAATTGCTTGCTGATTTCACGTGATTGGAAATGAAATACCACACAATGTAAGTTGATCCCTGTTACCGCTCTATTTGCATATAATTGTATTCTCTCATTGTCGAGAGCCGAACTAATTCCTGAACAACGCAGTCGATTATCGAATATTCGGATATCAAAAAGGCGGTAGCAAAAATGACTAGCTGCATGCGTAATATACCCATTGATATAGCATGAATAGACGGAACATTGTTTCCTTCTCTCTATGGAAGAAACACGTCGCCAGTAAATTGTGCGACTGCGACAAAAGAGGGAACATTCATTTACAGTGAAACATAAATAACTCGAACCTCTGCAACACGAAAATCTCTATAAGACAAAAATTTTGTTCAGCCCCTTCCGCTCCGCTGCGGAAAACCTTTATAAATCGAAATAAAACCTAACTTAACTCAAATTATTTGTCAGGCATTTAGATATATATTTTACCTCTGTAACTCGAATTTAAAGTAGCCAGACCTCTACAAGTCGAAGTTCACCTCTATAAGTCGAACTTTCATTGTTGCTACCTTTATAATTCGAAGTTGTAGCTATGTGTAACCGTGTGTAATAGCCAGGTATTTTGTTTTATGGTTACATTTATCATATGTACGCAATAAATAATTCACTGTTAAATATTGATTTTTTTTTCTTTAAAAGCCATTAATCGAAAAATTATAAACTCTCGTACAAAGCCTCTGTAAGTCAAATTTTCATACAGTCGAACCTCGATAACTCGAATCTCAAGGGACCAGAAAAGCTATTCGAGTTATAGAGTTTTCGACTTATCGAAATTCGAGTAAAAGAGGATTAACATATGAAAATTCGACTTACGGAGGCTTTGTACGAGAGTTTATAATTTTCCGATTATAATGGCTTTTAGAGGAAAAAAATCAATATTTAACAGTGAATTATTTATTGCATACATGTGATAAATGTAACCATAAAACAAAATATCAGGCCATTACTTACAATTACATAACTACAACTTTGAATTATATAGAGATAATAACAATGGAAGTTCGACTTATAGAAGTGAACTTCGACTTGTAGAGGTCCGGCTACTTTAAATTCGAGTTACAGAGGTAAAATATATATCTATAAATGCCTGACAAATAATTCGAGTTAAGGTAGATTTTATTTCGATTTATAAAGGTTTTCCACATTCCGCATTTCCAACAACGAAAAGTTAATAATCCTTCGTCTATTTATATTTTATACTACGTCTATGGTAATACCCCGTGCTGGCGATTTAAATTTTGCGACAGTAATAATCAAACCAGTTTCGAATTTTGCCGCAACGGCAACAAATTTACAACATTTAACAACGGCAGAATGAATCAGTCCTGGTCAGATGAAACGCACTATTTAAAAAGCAATAATATGCGGACACCGTCAAACATCTGTAATGTTACCAATGCATATGCATTTGCAGTTTACACTGTTCGTTACAATCAGTTTGTCACCGATTGGAAGTTTCATCGCGGACAAACCGCATAAAATGAAACAATGTTGAACTTATTAAATACGAAACCGTGTTAACGTACATATCGCGCGATGTGATGTTTCAATGTTACATTACATCCTTTTTTTGCATGTACGTACATAGGTATACCTTTAACGTATACCATTTGTTCCCTCTCACAACTTCATTAAAAATTGCAAATATATACTGATAAAGATTATAAAAATTGACACACACTCAGAACTGATGTTCTCTGTTCTCATTCCATCTTTCTCTCTTTTAAACAATAAAATATTAAATTAAATTAAATTTTGATATAATTTAGATTGTTGAATTTTACAGAGAAACAACGAAAGATATCGTATGACGATTTATGACGCTATTTAATTCGTCTGTGTAGACGGCTTCAAAGTTTCCCCCGTTTTACGTAGAAACACCTTCGCGAAGCAGGGCATCATAAATTAATCGTGGCATATCAAGCATGATCTAGTACATTCCCAACAGCTTTACTCCCTTCTCTCCTTTCTTCCGGCTCATGAGCGTCGATTATTATTCGCGCAATTACGTCGGCAGCTTGCGGTTAGGAAAATACCGATTCCAAGCTGCTCGCACGGCATGCGAAGAGAAATTTATTAACAGGCATACGTGATCGCTTATGCGCGCACGTAATAAGGTTTAAGCGACGTGCAGGGCGAATTAAACGAGCTGAACGGCTATCGGTGCCGACAATACGTTCGGCCATGCTTTATCGTTTAATATTCTAAGTGGTCGTATAATCAAGTGACGTTACCGCACTCGTAAAATGCAACGAAGCGAGCTAATTACGGACGGGCTGCTTTATGCACGTAGATTTTAGCAGCGACCGGTCGCTGCTTGCCAGGAAATCCACGAAATACTTTATGTCGCATCCATCTAGGATAATGTAACTAAAGCTTAATGATATCGGAATGCATTAAAGCTCATCATGCGAATGAATCTGTTCTTCGCGTTACTCATTTTAACCATAATGAATGTTAAATACTCATGATAGGATTTACATATAAGAAATATTATGTAGATGCGATAGCTGATAAAATAAACGTAATGTGATACGCTTTTATAATTTCATAAAGCTTAATATAAGTAACTAAATATTAAATTTATACCTTCTAATCTTGTTTCTGTTTTATACCTGCTATAATCTTTGCACAAAATAATCAGCGCAGAATAAGAGGTTCTTCACTTTAAAATCGATATTCCGCAAACTTGTTAAGATTATATCGTTGTATCGACTTTCCTTCAACGTTTAGACTTTAGATGTTTATCGTTTTCTGCCAACTCTCTCTCTCTCTCTCTCTCTCTCTCTCTCTCTC